CTCTGTGGACGTGGTTCTTGCCCTCTGTGGACGTGGTTCTTGCCCTCTGTGGACGTGGTTCTTGCCCTCTGTGGACGTGGTTCTTGCCTCGCTTCAAGCAGACACTGCAGTGGAAATTACTTGGTGAGACTCTGATCATCCAGTCGAAACCGCGATCACCTCATGCAAATGTCTTGTGATATTGTGCAATGGAGGGCAAAAGCAAAAACATACAACACCCGGCATTCGCTGGTCGTCACCGACCCAACTACTACTCGAGCCCTTGTTGGTTTGTCGAGGGGAGAGCGGACGGGATCCCGAATTCTCCAACAGGTATGGTCGTATGTGACAGTCAGATGGCAAAGGCCGGATTATCAGTCGAGATTCAGGGCTGGTGATCGGAGTGAAGGAAAGCTTGCAGAGTTGCTTCTGCGTGGTGAGCATTGAAGACTTCGGTCCCCCAATATTTTTCCAATTCCAACTTCACCGGCTTACTACCTTGGTTTTGCCCAGGCCACAGACAATACCATGGAGTTCGAAGCATATCGCAGCGGGACGAAGAGCGGGACATTGTCATACTTCCCAGAGAATACAGGTTCGACCAGAATCTGGCGCGTCCACCACCCTCCCCCAACCCTACGATCGTCACTAAACTACTACATACCGAAAAAAAAAGGCACGTCATTGACCAGCTGAGCGCAAGGAGTTTGAAAACCTCATTGCCGAGACACAGAATAGTAAAGGACACAGCGACACTCAAAAAGAGGTATACGCACCAGCAGAGCCCTGCAAATCCACCTAAAACACACCTTGGTTGTTCTTTCGCCTGGCGGTAGGTGTCGTCTGCCCGCTACGTTGTCAGACCGGCCTATACGCTTCCCCCCGCCACCATCGGTTGGGTGGTGCCCTGGAAATGCGCTATGCTCGTACGAACCCACCCCTATTCCTTCGCCGCCCATGACAAACGCTGGCCCAGGAGGCTGTCTGGGACTCTCAACTCCCTGGCCTTTGCCCAATGGACCGCCGCCGTGTACGCCTCGTACATCGGTCTTACCAACATGGTACGCGAGAATTCGACCTTTCAATTGTATGACTGCGCGACAGCGTTGATGCCCGGGACTCTGGAAACGCCGTGCTCTGCTCAGCAGCTTTGTGCCAAACCTGGACTCTTCGTCGACCGCCGATTCAGGTACCGCGATGGACACGACGACGAGCGCCGATTGTCCGGTCTGCTTCTCTTTGTTTTGTTCACGATCATAATCATGGCTCGCAATGGCGTGACCGTAATTAGGTTCGTGTCGGCTGCGATCCGTGGAAACCCATTGTCCATGGATAAGGGCCGTCTCATAACCCCAGCGCTTGATCTCATGTTGTTTGCGCTTGCCGCCAGTTGCAGGATCATGGCCATGGGCATTATAGTCACACCCGGCGTGATAGCCGCCGATAAACATGGCCCGGAGGCGCCTCTGACCTTCTATCCGGCGTGCAATGTAGTGCATGTTGGGATAAGCCCGTGGAGGTTCAATCTGGACGTGGACCAGGACCAGAAGGTAATGCGGCTTGTCAAGATGTGGTTTCTCTTTTAATGCGGATTGCGGGAGGAGCTCCCGTCATTGTCACAGTTGTAAAGCTCTCCTGCATCGGCCGCTTCGGCGGAAACAGGAGCATCCAGCCTCTCAACTCTGGAATATTACTCGGGACCCGTGTCCAGCATGGACTCGAGGCTACAGGAACGTCGCCACATCAACAACACAATACACTGCAAGGCTTGCTACAGGACCATATTGGACTGTTACATTGGGGGCCAAGGATGAGAGGGCACATGCAACAAGAGCCTGCTTCCCGGCACGATTCCTCCAGGCTCAAGACCGTTCATTGGTTTTTTTAAAAAAAAATAAATAAATCCAGCCGATTTGGTCCCTCCGAGCGGGGGAAATTGATTCCACTTGAAGAGTAAAGTGCCAGCACCCGGCGAGAACCCTATGTTCGCGTCTTCTTTCGTGCTAATGACGTTGGTATAACTCGTTCTTCTCGACCCCGACCCAGCACCCTGCAGATCGTCGGCCACAACGCACGACTAAACTTGCTAGGTAAACACAATGAAAGCTGACCTGAACCCACCGAAGCCCATCCGCGGGTGGCTCACCCGTGAGTTCCCTCTCGAGAGAGACTGCCTTACTTTGGCTGTTTGGGGCTTAAGATTGCTAATGAGGAGCTGTTCTGCCGCGCCGCGACCCAACCCGTGGAAGGTGTGAGAAAGCCAATTAGCTAGCTCCTCAGTCGCCTTTGACGCCGTGTTTTATTCCAGTCAGTATCGGTCACAACAGGACAAAACTTTAAAGGTAAACTGACGGCGGTTCAACCCTCACCGGTATATGCAATAGGTCGTCTTTGCGCGTGAAGAACTCGGCCTCAACTACGAGGTCAAATCCTTCCGCTTCGACGACGTCAAGAACAAGCTCTTCACCGACATCAACCCTAACGGGCGCGTGCCCGCCATCGAGGACCCCAACACAGGCCTGACGCTGTGGGAGTCAGGCGCCATCTACCAGTACATCGTCGACGTCTACCAGTACATCGTCGACGTCTACGACACCGACAAGCGCCTCACACACGCCGCCCTCAACGACCGCCACCTGTGCAACCAGTGGCTACACTTCCAGACGAGCGGCCAGGGCCCCCACTTCGGCCAGGCCGGCTGGTTCCGCCACCTGCACCCGATCCAGGTCCCGCCGGCCATTGAGCGCTACGCCAAAGAGGTCCGGCGCGTGCTGGCGTCCTGGACGGCGTGCTGACTGCTCGCCCCGCCGACGCCAGCTGGCTGATCGGCGGCAAGATGACGTTTGCCGACATGGCCTTTGTGCCGTGGAATTTTCGCCTGAGCGAGGTGCTGATGCAGTCGTGGGACGAGGTCTGGGCAGGCCTGCCGCATGTGCGGGCGTGGCACGAGCGCATGGTCGAGCTGCCGTCGTGGAAGCGGGCATGGAGAGACGTGCGGTGTTGATGGACGAGCAGGGCCTGCAGTGGAATGGTGTGCCCAAGGAGATTGAGACGTTTACTGAGTACGAGGAGAAGATTGCTCGAGGCGAGAAGACCACGGCCGAGTAGTTGAATATTCACATGTGGCGCCAGTCTCAGCTATCGAGAGCCTAGCTAGTGCCCCTGCCTGCATGTTAGATCCAGAGCTGATATAGATAATCAGAAAGCATGCCAAAGAGCCAACACATCAAAGACGATGAACGTTCAATCAACTCACTTCCTACAAATAGCCACCGCCGCCATCATCATCGGAATCCCCAACCCCACTTCCACCCCCGGGCATCTCATACTCCTCCACAACCTCAGCCACCATCTCCTTCATCACCTCCCGAAAGCCGGAAACGTTGAGGATCTTGATGGTTCTCGAGGCGCTGTGCGCGGCTTATACATTTCCCGGGAAACTTACATCGCACCAGAGACTGGAAACGAACAACTTCAATTACATCTCCACTCCGGGTGTCTCGACAACCGAGCAAGGGAAGTGCCCGAGGCATTATGTAGGGACTTGGTTTTAAAGCACTGCGACCACACATCAGCAGGTAAGGTCGGTGAGACACAGATCAGAGGATTGCAAGTTCGGGCGGGGATTGATTTCGCCAGGCGCATCAAACTAGGTTCAGGACCAATTAGTTGAATGTTGAAGCAAAATCAACCTGAGGTTGCGCCCCTTTCTTACATTAGATTGGTCACTACGCAGTACAGATAGCCACAACCAGCTAGTTATTCTCGATGCGTCACAAAGGACCAAAAGGCATTGAAATTTCCCCAACCTAGGCAGTAAGAGCGCCAGCGAAGAAAATGGCGGCCACAAACCCGACAACAACAGGCACCTGGGACACGGCAACGGTGCCTGCCCCCGCCGTGACAACGGCGGTTTGGCGGGAGGTGCCGGTGGGTCCGACAGCGGTCGTGAAGGTGGACTTGCCGACGCCCGGCTTCGTGGTCGGCTCCGGGACACCAGGCGGGCAGTGCCAGTGGTCACCGTGTGGCTCGCACTCGCCAGACCCGGCTCCGGACCCGGTCTTGGTAGCACCGGCCGGTGGAGTCGTGGGCTCCAGAACGCCAT